GGGGGTGGGGTGGGTGGTGAGCGCTGGCTCCTCCGGCGCACCGCGGCCTGCACCCGCGGCTGCCCTCGGCCGGCTGTCCCGGCCTCGGCCCTGCGCCCTGTCTCCCCCTCCGCCATTACCTGCCCTGGGACCCTCATTCGGGTTCGCTTGTGCTTGAGGAAGGTTTTGACTCGTCCCTTCTGCAGGGCGTCTTCCAAATCTTTTTCTGGCCTAATTCACACTTAACTTACTAGAGTTGCAACCTTTCTATTTTCACTATTTCTGGATACGTATTTTACTCTTTGAAGGCTGCCTTTCAGGCTTCTGTCGAGCGGAAGGAAACGGCATCTAACTGTGCCAACTGCTTCTGCTGTTTTGGCGCTGCCTTGTGAGAAGTGGCATGCAGGGTGCTGTCTCTAACTGCTGTCCACACCCCCACGTGCAAACACTTATCTGTTTGGGCTGTCTCGTAGTTTCTTTGTAACCTGCTTCCTCATGTTAGTGCAGTTCCGTATTTTGAATTAAAATATTGTTGTAAGGGAGGAAGATATTGCGCTGGTTGTGTGGTGTTTTTTTTTTTTTTTTAAAGCTTGCTCCTGCAAGAATGTTCAATGCAATGTAAAACAGCATATTAAAGTAAAAATTCAGTCAGTCCAAATCCACCACCCAAAGATATGTGGCCCTGTGAAAGAAGCCACTTCTGGATTCAGAACTCTTCCATTGACAATAAAGTGTTGAAAATCACTGAGACTTGCATGTACTGAAAGGATAATTAAAAATGAATTAATATATAAAATCTAGAAGACATTCAAAACTTCTTGAGGCCCGTAGGAAGACTGAAGTTCCTCATAAGGTGTGTGGTGTTTTTATTTTTAGTGACAACCCTTTTCTCCTCTGCTTTCTAGCTTTCCTAATGATCAGGTCAAGCTTGTATCTCAGTCTCTTCAGTGAAAAGAGCTAGTAGAGATTCTTAAAAGTGCAATCTTGGATTTCTAGCAGTCCTTTGACTTGTCATGACAGCTTACGTTCTTTGCGTACAGTAAGTAAAATGTTAAAAGTAAGTTTTGGCCTTGGAGTTAGATCTCAGCTGTGCAACTATGGTAAGGTTTTTAATGTCTGTCTTTTCTGTGTCTGGCTACAGAACAGCAAAAAACATTTTGAAGGACTCTGGAACTGGGAAAAGGGCAACAAAATGAAACTTTCACTGAAAATCCACCAGTAACTTTGGGGTAGTAGCTACTGCTGCTGAGTACCTTGAAAGTTCTAATCTGTGGGTTTAAACACATTAAGCTGATTGTGTTCAGTCTGTGTGATGCTGAGTAAAGAGAAGTTGTTTATTATTAGCTTGATGAAAAGCTTGCAGCATGCCATTAGACAAGGGTGAGCTCCCCTAGGAACTGCTTACAGTAGATGATTGTGTTTTGTTTTAAGGTGTATGTGGCTTGTCAGTCGATGCTCATTGTGCTTGTGGGAGCTGCGCCTGAGTACCGTATTGACCAAGAAGAAATTCCGTTTAGCAGAGCTGAGCTTGCCAAACACATCCATTTTGCAGATAACTTCACATCTATAGTAACTGAGGCAAGTACTTCCGTCGTGCCTAACCGTTTCTTCTCTACTTGGGGATTTATGCCATCAGTGCAGGACTTTTACTTTGTGAAAACTGAATAGGACTTAGTTCAGTGTTTTGTATATGCTATTAAAAATTATTGAAACCCACTCATCTGGCTCTCTTATGTTGTATTTTTAAATCTGAAAATATATGATTAAATTATTAACTTTCCTAGTACAAGTCTAACACTTAAAGTAATTTAGTTTTGGTTAAGTTTTCTTTATGTTGATTGCTTCTTTTGTTTTCAGTTTTCTTTACCTTCAGATGTTTTTTGAAAGTCGTTACTAATGAGAATGATGCTCAGTGCTTCATCTACCTACAGTTTATAACTCTAGAATTTGGTGTGGGCTCCTCCTAATGTCTGTCTTTTATCAAGAAAAAAATCACTTTGTCATGTCTAAGCAATTTGTGCTGTGCACTTAATCTTTGCCATGAGCTGCATTGTGCTTTCAAAGAAGATGCATCTTAGAGTAAAACCACTATAAAAGTTAAAAGCATGCATCACGTGTCTGGATACTTTGGCATGTCGTGAGAAGAAAAGATGGAACAAATAGAAATTTGTTGAGTGGGACAGAAGCTTGACCTTTAACCCTAGTGTCTTATGAGTTTCACGTGAAAAGTTGGGTTTGCTTTTTGTTAGTCCTTGGGATGTAATCACTCAGGCAAGCGATCTAAAACATCTTTGCCAGTGGCAGGAAAAAAAATTGGGTGGGTGGCTTGACTTCTAGTGTAAACAGTCAGGCTTCTGCTGATTGTTTTCCTGAGCAAGCGTTCAGTAAACTTGCTGGGAAAGGTTAGCCTTTAGCATGGACAGTGCCCAATTCTTGCTTTCTTCCCGTTATCGCAAATGTGACTGTTTAATGTTTATCTTGGAAAAGGTACTGATTAGACATGAGAAAGAGTGATACAGTATTGGACCACATCTTCTGTCAGAAACAGATTTTCTTGATAAGTATGTTTTCCAAGATCACCCTTCAGATGCACAGCAAAATACCTTATGTGGTATAACGTTTAAATTATAATGAGAAATCAGCAAGGCCTGACTAATATTATATTTTAAAATATAGAAGCAGTCATCATTGTTTCCAAACGATGGAGTAATTTTTAGGATTCTGACTAAAACAAATTCTATTTTCCCCATTCATTTCAGTAACGGTAAGTTTTTTTGGTTTTGATTATCTTGCTAGTTGACTTTTCCCACGCAGTCTTTAGATGCTGGCCAATCTCCCCCTCCTCACCCCCCTGCTCCAATACTAACAGTCTAGTAACTAAATTTCAAACCGTTCTGCAGATTTCATGATTTGAGAGGATGTCCTTTTGGAGATAGTAAAATTGGCAATGCTTTGCTGGCAAGCTATAGCTGGTTTTGACAAATATTTAGCAAGTTCCTTGTGTGCTAATAGAACAGATGCATTCTATAGAATGCAGATAGATATATTTTGCCTAGTTTTGCATAGATTATTGTACCAAACTTGTTAAAATGATTATCTTCCAGTGAGGCATCAAAAAGCACAAGTAATGTCTCTCAAACAATGTTTTCTGTTGCCCTTTGCTGAGGGAAGACAGTGCTTTTCTGAAGTTTGTTTCCTTTATTTTGTTGATGGTGTGGGGTTTAAACAATAAATATTTTCAGTTTTGTTCTGGCCTGAGGGCAGCACTCCATTCTGTTCTGGAGCTCAACAAAACTTTAGAGTAGCAGTTGAGTTCTGGTTCAAGAAGAAATAATCATTGTAGTTTGTTTTGCCTAATTAAGGTTTCATAAATAACAGTTCAAGCTCAGTTCATGGCAAACAAAATTGTTAAAATTGCTTCTTGGATTGGCATCAACTCTGTCCCCTGTTTTACGTAAAAAGTGATGAGGCTTGAGAAGGTGAGATTAAGAAAATATATCTTGAGGATTTTTTTTTTGGTATAAAAGTGATTCTTTAACTCTGAGAAATTGATTTAAAAAAAATTTTTTTTTTTTTTTAACAACAACATCTGGCACTCGAAAGTCATTTTGTCCCTTATCAACCTGAAACATCCTTTAGACACAAGCTGCGAGTTTGTGATTTGTATGCTGGGGCGGGCTAGAGTGAGGAAGGAGGACTTATACCAGCAGTATTCTGCCTTGGGGAGGACCTGCTGTGTCATTTTTATACTAGCTGAAGAATGAGGATTCATGGCCAGGAATATTTCATTTTTGGAATCCCTTCAGAAAGTTAAGAAACGATAAGTTTTGGGAGCTACATCATTAGCCACTGTAATAGGGTGGAATCTACTACCCCGCAGGAGTATGGTAGAAAACATCTACAAATGCTGCTGTGCAAGAGCTTACCTTCAGAGTATCCCAAAGTCCTCCAAAACTCAGGAGTGTTTTAAGTGGATGCCTTTGACTAAAGGAGACGTCCTTCAAACGCTGCAGCATTTCACCCTTCCCCCAAAATATACTATCTCACACAGGTTCAGCTTTCGCCATCTTTTCTTCATGCATGAGTAGATCCTTTCCAGCTCTGGGTCTTTTTGAGGATATTTTTATGGTTATGTGGGGTAATGGATGCGTAGAGCAATGTCCTTTCTGTACCTTGCCAACATAAGAGTCCAGATAGATTGTGTAAAAACATACGATTCTTAAGACTGCTATAATGAAAAGTTTGAGTAAACTCCTAATGCTCTTTGGGGATCTGTATTAATTCAAGGCCAACAAGTGAGGGCTAAGGCCCTGCTTTGTTGTACAGTGTTTTTTTCACATGCCTTTTCCCTGGAGTTACCCTTTCAGTTCATTGAACCAAAGGGAATTAGGCTGCTTCTGCCTTTCCTTTTTCTCCAAAGAACATACTGTAAATGTCATTTTAAAAGTCAGCATGTTGTCTTGATGTGAATATTTATTTGTTTTTTTCCAGTGGAAATTTCCCAGCATATTTCCAATAATTATTAAATGTTTGGGTCAAGTTTTACATGGAATTAGTTAAATTCCTTGCTTGGAAAATCACTTAGATAAGATTTTCTAATTATTTTTTTTCCTCCAAGTTCAGGAAGTCCTCACTGTGTAATCTCAATAGTGCATTTCTGTGAGTGTTGATCCTCACTGTTTGTAGTGGGGGACTGGACAAGTCCTCTGCATTCCTTGCTCCATCGAGAGTTATTTAATTAAGCTCCCTTCAGTTTTCAATCCACGTGGCGTTCGTTTTCCTCCCCTCTGTGGAACTGTCAGTATTTAATTATGCTACCTCAGTTTAGCTTCGGGTGAGGTATAGCGTACATCATCTAAAGAAACCCAGTGTTTGTTTCTAACTGTTTTGTTTGGTTAAAAATTCATGTGCAGAATAAAATGATACAAATATCAGTGATTAGCTCTTAGAGTTCTTACAAAGCAAGCCTTTTGAAGGACATCTTTCAATAATATCCTCTGACTTATCTTCAATGTTTGAACGTATGTGTAGTCAGGAGAGGGCAGCTGGGGTTATTCATGGTCCCAGAAACATAACTGATCAGCATTAATGCTCTAAGTGCTGCAGTGGTGACCATGCTTTATTTTTGTTAATAATTCCTATTACCTGTTCATTGGAAAAACGAAGCTTGTTAAATGTTGAAGTGGCTGAGCCGTTAAAAATTCAGTGTTTCCTAGTTGTAATAACATAGAATAAGTTACTTTGTAAAAGCTTGATGACTAGGATACATTAAGCTTAGAAAATTGAAACTTAATGTGTTTAATATATGGTAATGAAATTTCTTGGTGGGGGGGGGAAGAGAGATGTGAGAGCCTATATTAGGGGGGAAAAAATCTGACTGTCATCCTACCTATCCAACTGTGAATGAATCTTTAATTAGATACGAAGTGAGAAGTGGGAAATGGCAGCAGAAGAATTTTGATAGTTTTCTTTATTTTTGAGGAGGCCAGTAACTTGCTGTTAATTTTAACAGTAGAGAGGGTGTGTGTGTTTTTTTTTTTTTTTGACAGTGGTACCTAATTGAAAAAGAAGCCTACAAAGTGAGCCTTGCATCTTCCCTGTTTTTTGCTGGATTGCTTATTGGAAATATCACATTTGGCCCTTTATCAGATAAACTTGGTAGGAAACCAGTTTATATATCAGGTAAGACTGTTAAAAATGTTTTTTCTAAGTCTTCTGTTTGGATAATATCATCTCTGTTTCCGCTCGACAGAGCAAGGGCATTGGTGAAGTCGATAAGTTTTTACCGTTTCGTTTCCTTGTTTTGCATGTGCTTTGCATAGTGTATTAGCTTAAAGATATTTATGCAAATTTGATATATTGCTATGGAAACCTAATTTGTTTTCTTATCCAGTGAATGATACAGTTTCACTTTCAGGGTCTTCAGGAATGGTTTTTAAGTTCTAGGGTGTGACTAAGTGAGCAGTACTAGCGCAAAGTTTTTGGAAAAGCATTGTATGAAAAAAGATGAAAAATACATTTTCTTTTGTGTAAAATACGTATCGACTGGGATCGCAAACTTCATAAGCAAAAAAACTTCTGTGCCCGCTATGCAATGTTTTTTCTTGTTTGTCAGTGTTTTCCTGAAGTTAAAATGATATGATATATTTTCCTGTTATTTGGAAGGACAAAGCACTACACGTCCTTAAATAGTTAAAAATTGATAGCGTTAGTGTTATCTGATGCGTTTTGTTGTTGTTTAGGTTATTTTGACATGAGCTCGATCCTTTCAAATCTAAAGGATACATTTTGTAGTAGTAGAAACGAATGAAGTGAGTCAGGCGTGAAGAGCACTGTTTTTGGTTGTGCAAGCGACTCCTGTATAGCCCTTGAGTGTAGATGTCATCTTCTGTTTTCCTATTCTGTTTTTGCTATCTATAAATTGTAAATAATGGTGCTTTACCTGTCCTGTACTCATACTGTGTGACTCGCTGAGGTTGTAAAGTCCTTCTTGATCCTCTAGAAGTTTTTTTTTTCCTCAGTGTGTGAGAAATTGGCCCTGTTACGATTTGACTGCATACCAGACCTCTAATGCTGTCAGTCCAAGCCAGAATAGGTCCTTAAGATGCCGCTAATGGTTTAGTTAGTACTAATGGTCTCTAGAAGTATTTCACTGAGTGGAACAACAATAAAATTGGTTAGTATGTGTATACCGAACAGCATAGTGTTTTTGTCCTTGTGGTCACTGGACGGTCCGTGGAAAGATAGCCTGGTTTTGATATAACTGTATCTAAAAACATGAACGTGCGTCACCCTACCGTATTGCCCCCAATACAAATAATTCCCCTCCTTAAGAGGAATTGCATCATTTACCTAAACCTCTTTAGAGCAAGTGACTGGCGTCTGGGTGGTTTGTTTCCCAGCTGTGTTTGCAGCTAAATGGTCTTTGTTTAACGATAACATTGTCTCAAGGAAACTTTCTCTTTGGGATTGCAGACCTCAGGTGGGCGAGTTGGGAATGGCTGTAGTTTTCATATTATGTGAGTTTAGAAAGCCAAATGTGAGATGCTAGAGTAGCACGGAATAATCACTAGGGCAAACAATTTACTGTGCTTCCTACCTCTTCACGATGCCTAGAATAAGTACTAATTCTATTTTATTCTGTCTCTACAGGTCTATTTTTTGATGTCGTTTTTGGGTATGTCACCGCATTAGCACCGAACTATGACATATTTGCAATTTCACGTTTTTTTGTTGGAATTGTGAATGGTGGAATGGCTCTTGTGTCTTTTGTCCTAACACAAGAATATGTAGGAAAATCATTTTGGTCATTTACAGGTGGGATTTGGAATATTTAATCATGATTACTGTGCAAAATATTGTTCGTCTCAATACCTTACATCTTAAATTCTTACGTTTGTAGCAGATAAATGCAGTTTGTAGCATGAGTCAAACGTGATGCTGTTTCATCCAAGTTCTAATTTCTGTGGGAATGTTGCCTGAACGTGGAAGGCAGGATTGGGTTTGTGTGATAAATAGTGAATCTCTAAGATTTTTAAAAAAGCACAGTGATTCCTTAAAATTTTGCAGTTAGTGGACAGTGATTCATTTAAAAAATCTCTTTTGGTAGATCCTGCCAACCTCAGAAAAAAGCTGTATAGTGTCTTGGGAAAATATTCTTCAAATTAGTCTTTGAAGTTTCCCTGCACCACAGAATGATTTAGTGCCTGTACAGTGTGCTGACCATCCGATATTTGTAAATGTCCTTTTTGGTATGCCACTGCCAAGACTTAAAATAAATGTAACAATTATTTGTCATACTGTTGTAAAACTGGAGTAACTCAAAACTGTAATGCTTCTTTGGATGGCACAACATGGGGACAAAATTTGATCCGAATGCTGATTTGTTGTTGCCGTGAGTGTGTTTCTGTCAGTTCTTCAGTTATCTCACTCTACTTCTTATTTCTTTTCTGAACTCCTTGGGGATATGTGAGGAGGTTGTAGTTTGGTTATAGGTTTTTCACTTCAGTTTTGTTTTTCAAGCACTGAGTTTTCTTTTTCTGCTGGGTTCAGTGTTTTGACTCATGACACCTCTCTCTCCCACCCCTCCGTTCCCCTCACCCTTGTTGTCTATCTCTGCTCTCCCCAGCCTTCTCCCCTGCAGGGGCAGCCTGCTGATGGACCGAAGAGAGAATCTGTTTCCTGCAGCTTGTCCTTTTAGGTGCTTTGTTCTAGTTCCTCTCAGCAGTTGATAAAGAGGTGCTGAACTACTGATCAGTGGCTGAAAGAACGAGGAAGCTGCTGAACACTGCTCAGCAGTGTTAACGGAGCTCTCCTATGCATTGGCTGTGAGCTAGGCTTTATGTGCAATAGCTGAGAGTTTCTGGGTTAGTACTAGATCTGCTCGAACAGTCTGCAGAGAGTTCATTGCTAGGCTTTTGGAATTGGAGTTGACTCCCTATTTTTAACACTTTTATTTATACTTATTCATCAGAAACTTTATGTATATCTCTGTTTTGCAGCTGTTTTTCATACCTAATTCAGTTCTTGTATCTTTATAGCTCACTTCCAATTTTTGTTCCAGCCTTCCACCCCTATTCAAGATTACCTTAGTAGACCTAAATAAATCACATCATTCCCCTTCCTATCCCCAGATCTTCTTTGGTCTGTAGGTTCCTTTTCCTTTCTTGGTATTGCCTATGTACCGGCCTTTCTTTTTAAGGGAGGAGTAGGGGGGAAGATGGAACATTCTACAAAGGCATTCCCCGTGAGGACTACACGGTTTACTTAGGCCAACTGGTTGGCAAGTGCCGTAAAGATACTTTGAAGATCTTATTGCTATTGTGTTTAGGTTTATCACAGGCTAGGAATTTAAGACTTCTGCAAATGAGTTTTTGCTACTGGTTTCTGTAGTCACCTTTTTGGTTTTGTGTTTTCAGGTTCCTTAACTAATTTGATGTTTGCAGTTGGCATTGCTGTTTATGCATTGCTGGGTTACTGTGTGAGAGAATGGCGCTACCTTGCCTTGGTATCAAATACTCCAGGAATCATCTTCTTTCTTCTTTCTTTGTGAGTGGTTCACATTCCTTATACTGATAAGGAAGAATTATGCACTGATTTAACAGTTACTTGTTTTCTTATCGTTGTCCCAAAGGCTCGTGCAAACAAGGGGGATTTTTTGATATGCTTTATGAACCAAGCAAGAGAAGGTCATACTGCAAAGCCCTGTAATTGGGTTAAAGTGAAGCAAGAAGCAATTTTAACTGGAACGTAAGGTCAGGATTACCCAGAAGAAAAGCTTGTGTTGCCGCATGCTATTACAGTTCTGGTGGCCAGCATTGCAAAGAACAGCTGTGTGCCAGCTGTCTAATAAACTCATTTACAAATCTGCTTGTGGAAGGGAAGGCCTGCCAGAGGCCGTGAGCTGGAGCATCGGCCAGGAACACTGCCTTCTGCCAAGGAAGGGTTTCAGCACTTGAGAAGTTTTGGAAGTGCTCCTAGAGGTTTTTATAGAGTTACTTTTCACAAGACAAATGAATGCAGTGGGAAATAAGTGAGAACACTTGGAATTGTCTTTCTAGCCTGCTGCTCTGTGTGTCCGCTTGTTTTTAAGCGCCCCTGTCTGTTCTCTTACCCCTATTGCATTTGGGCATTCCTATTTAGAATTCCTGAATAGATATTATTATAAAAATGGTTATGATATACAACAGTGTTTAATGAATTGAAAATGCTAATGTTGTCTTGCGTGTGTTGTTACAAAATGTTCTTGTAACCTATCGAGTAACATACCTTGTCCTTATCATTTAGAGCTGTAAGAGGAAATGGAGAGCTATCAGTGTGTTGGTTGTCTTCGTGATAAAACAAAAGAATGTCTAGCATGCTATATAGTTAAGAAAAAAGCAACTTTCCTGATAGATACCTATCTATGTGTATTTATATGTGTATACGTGTCTGTGTGCATATTCCCACATATATACACACATGCATGCACACATGTACACACACAAACGCACACTACATGTATGTGAAATCTAATATGCAAAACAGTGCAAATAGAATGTTTTTCTCAGAAATTTGTATTGGTACTAATTTTTAAATTACTGTTTTGAAAAACAGCAAGACCGATTTAATCCATCGTTTATAGGAATGAGCTTTTCATCATTGATTTTCTTTTCTTTTCTCGTTAGTATGCTCCCAGAATCACCGAGATGGCTCTATTCCCAAGGGAAAACTGCAGAAGCTGAACATGTGTTGCAATATATTGCTCTTGGTAATGGAAAAGAGAGATTGAATCTCAAATTAAAACCAACTGCAGCAACTTTGCGGAAGGGTGAATCGGCACCTGGTATTTTGAACTTGGTAAAACACCCAGTCCTTCGGTGGCGAACTGTTATACTGATGTACATCTGGTATGTAGTAACAAGATGCTGAGATGGCATGAATGAGTCAAACATGAGGAAATACTAAGATTTTCATCCTTTTCATTTAAAAATGTTGCCCTTGAATACTAAATTGTAAATTTGTCAGTTAATGATGGCAGGCAGTCATCTGCAATAGTGTGTTGTAAAGGTGATGCTTCGTTATTATTGCTGTTACATCTTATTCTTGCTTTTGCTTAAGCTCCTTCAAAACCTGCTAAGAAATAGTCTAGTGACAACATATTTGCTCTAAGTGACATGAGAAGCTGAAGGAGCAATTTGCTGAGAAGATGTATATTTAAGGGAATATTAGGAGGAAAGGGACTAAACTGACTAGACAGTAATGATATAGGTCTGGAATAACAGTATGGGTAAAAAAGCATATCCCAGAGGTTCAGTGGAGGAGGTAATATACTATAGTGTCAATATATGGCAAAACGGGGAACATCCTGGGTGTGGGGAGGATGTAGAGTTGGTGGTTTTAGCTTAAGCCGGTTTGGAACATCTGTTGCTGTTACCTGGGGAATAGCTCTTTTCCAAAATGCCAGGAAGTTTTCCCTTTAAAGTTCAGTGTTACGTTTGAGACAATTGTCAGGGTGTAGATGGAAAAATCAGTAGTTCGATATGTTGGATTAGCGTCCTGCACAGCTGTGCTTGCAGAAGTGACAGAAACATCATTGCTAATAGGACCTTTCCAGCAGTGTCTCAGACTCTGCTGGTAGGTAAATATAAATAAGTAATTACAGCAATGTGAAATGACACTATAAAGGCTTTCTCGCTGTCTGGAAAAAGTAATCGTAGTATTGTCTGCTGTCACAAAGCCTGTTAAAACACACGTGCGCGGAGCTGTTGGAATAGCTCCACAGCTGTTCTGCCGCCCAGTTTTGTGCTGTTACGGGCACTTGGGAGCTTTTGGACACCACTGATCAGCTGTGACTGGCACAGGCTGTACTTCTCCCTGCAACAGGGAGAACTTTCCTTTTCTTTTCTGCCTCACATGCCCCAAATTCTGCTTAGACACGATGTGAGCTTGTTTCCGTTAGCTGGTGTCTTTTGCAGTGCTTCTGTGACTGATTGCACCGTTATTGTCCCCTAATGTCATACTGTCTCTGCCTGGTTAAGCCATCTGCACTGTAAACTTCCAGACTATCCTTAAGGTAATAGCAACAGCTTTAAAGCTCTAATCAGAGGAAGCTAATGACTAGAAGATTGTTAGAATTTCCTTTTTCAGTAAGAAAGCTACTAGGGAGTTGGGCAAAATGTTTTTGTTATATACTAGCCTTTCCAACGCAGTGCTGATTTTACTGGCCTGGGGGTGGGAGTTTTTCTTTCCAAGGAAAGTATCGGGTGATAATAGGCTTCACTGGGAAACCTACCTTAGGCTTGGGGAAGACACTCTGTGTTAAACAATGGCACACCGCTTTGTTGCATAGGATTGTTTTGCAACAGTTAAGCATGATCTGATTAGAGTTAAACGTATTAAATGTTATAAATAACCGAAAGTTGTTAATAGATAATTTGTCAAGTTATGTTGCATACATATATGAGCGTTCTTTTTCAAGAAGTTACTTTGCTAGCTTAAAATAGGAGCTATTCTCTCTTTCCCCCTTTTGAGGGTGGGGAGAATGAGACTCTTCTTCCTAGCATGTAACTCGATGTAACTAATATGTAACTCGGTCAAATTTAGCTTTTAAGTGCTATCTGAGCCCTAAAAAATAGTTCATAATTAACTTGTGTGGTTATTTCTAGGTATGTCTGCAGCTTTGTATACTATGGGCTAACTTTAAATGCTGGTGAATTAAGAGGAAATCTGTATTTAAATGTGGCTCTTTATGGTCTTGTAGAAGTTCCGGCGTTTCCTCTCTGCATGTTTTTTATTGAGAAATCCTGGTAAGAAAATTTATTGTCTAGTTTTCTGTCTATATTTGTGAACAGCACAGAAAAATACCAGTCAAATACTTTGCTGTTCTCCTAAAGTAGATACTACTTTGAGGTTTTAGTCAGCTCTAGGGATTTCTGCAGCTGATACCAAAATGGGACTCTAATTTTTCTACTTTTTCATTTTTTTCTTTCATTTAACTATTGAAATATTCAAGAGTTGAGCTTTTCAAAAGCTAGGAAAAAAAGGTTTGATATTCTTAATGGAAAAAATACTTAGTATCCTAGTTATGTAAGTATCCACAGCGCATATATGTATTTTGCCTATTTCATTCAGAATGGCTTATTTTTGTATAGCTTACCAAGTGCAGTTGAAAGCAGTTTTCAGCATTCTTAATTTCTACTGCAAGTTTTCAAAGAAAACTCTGAAGTGAGAGTAGTTCAGTTTTCGTTAAGGCAGGTCATTGTCCATGTGTTTTCATACTTTCGCTGTATTTAGAGGCCATCCGTTATATGGGTATTTATTTCCAAAGACTGAATAGTTAGTCTAGAGATCCAGAGCTATTCAGGGCTTCATCTAACCTTCAATTTAAGTATCTTTTTAAAATAATACCTTGGTCTCGTTGAGGTCAGTGGCAAAAATCCTGTTTACTTCGGTAAGGTGAGGATGTCACCTTTTGAGTTTTCTTGGTAACCAAAGAAGCTGCCAGCTCTGCCAAGCTCAAAAACAAAACAAACAAACAACCCCCACCCCGCTTCCTAAAAACCTAGGTCGAGGGCATAAATTTAACCCACAAACTGCACAAGTTCTTTTCTACATGTTCATCCTTTTGTAATTTACAATTTGTTTGACAATTTTTTTTGTTTGTTCCTTAAAGTAAGGATATGCTTAGTTTTACATGCTTAATGCAAAATAGGACAGGTCAGATGGTCAGATGATCAGATTTCATTTAGCTTTAGTGTACAGTACCCTTAAAGTATGTCTTTTTAATCACAAAAAGTTTGAAAAGATTTTAAAAACAAATATTGTATGTTGTTATAGATAAACTAGAGCTTTTCTTCTACTATGGGAAATCATTAGAGATAGCTGTGAGTTAACAAAGTGACAAGCGTGGGCAGTATTCTTGCGTGCATTGAGCTTGTTAGTAAGAATATCTTTATTTGTGGTCCTTGCAGATCAATATGAAATACTGAGGTGTGACAGATGTGGAGATGAGCTCGTCTTTTCTGTCTTGTCTGCTTTTCTTTCATTTCAGAACACTATGCAGCAGGATTAGCTATTACTTATTTCTGCCTGTGGAAAAAGCATACAAAATAGCTTTGCTTTTATGTAATAACTGCATATAATAATGCCAAGTTGTTTAAAAAAAAAAACAGATTAAGGAGGACTGGAATTAAGTTTTCTTACTCAATATTAATTTTATCTTTGCGTATATGCACTACGATACTCTTTTAGCAGCAGGACAAATTGTGTCCGTCACTACAACGAACAAAAAGTTTATGCAAGTTCCTGTTGCGGAAGTAGGTATGGTCATCTTTTCAAGGCTAGAGATTCAGTAGCTTACAAATCAAAACTGTACTAGAAATAGGAAAGCTTTGTAGTACGACTTATGTACAGAACTAGAAAAATAAAATTTGAAGCAACAATCTTAGTGCAATGGATGTGTAATTGTCGCTAATGCTGCTGTATACTTCAGATGGCCTTTTGCAGAGAGATTCAAAAATACCTAAGAACTTTATTTCCATCTCTATCTGGGTGTTTTTCCTTCTAGGTCTGGCAGACGCAGAACTATGACCTCTTTTCTGGTATTTGCAGGATTTGCTTGTATGTTTAGCATGTTTTTACCAACAAATGCTGGTAAGTATGTATCGCTGCCAAAGTAGGTATTTGTTAATTCAAATAAAAGCTGAGAAAGCAACGTAGTGTTATTTGTTGACTGAGGCTACCAGGGCCTTAAGGCGTACCAATTTGCCCCTCTTTCTTTGTCTCTCTCTCTTTTTCCACAGCTGGTCCAGGAGCTAGCAAGCTATCAGTATTATTTTAAACTTCTTGTGGGCATAATTTGGCCCTGAATAGAACCTGATAATTGAACAAGTTTGTCTGACCCCGAGCTCTTGGCTCTTAGAAGGTCAGACCAACCTATCATGTTCCCTTTTAAATACTGGCATGGTGTTCACTGCTATTAATCCATTTACCTTAAAATGCTCATGTCAATAACCAGGCTGCAGCGCAGTCTGTTAGTTAGTTAAACTGGATCTTGACAGTTTGAGATGCAGAGTTTAACTTTACATTTGTTATGATAACATTTAATGTTTATAGGAATAGGAACTGCAGTTTTCCTAATTTAGAAGTATAATTCATCATTTCTTAAAAAAGTAAAAAAAACTTACAGCGTTTAAAAAACTATTTTATTTTGTACTTGAAAACTAGAAATGGAGGTCAGAATTGCAGTATGGAAGCTGTAGGAATGGCAAGAAGCTTGCTGCCGTTCTTGATTTCATCTTGTATATTGCTGCATTATACAGTTGTGAAGACAATTCATACTGTCAGTGGAGTATCAAATTTTTTTATGTGTAGTCCCTAATTTCACAAGGACTAGTCAAGCAGTTTCTTTTTATTTTCACTCTTCTTTCCATTTCAAGTACAAGTTTTCTTTACTGATATTTAAGCCACTGAAAATTTATGTCTGCATGAGACTGTCAAGTGTAAGTGGCTCCTCCTGGTTTGTGTTTTTCTTTTTTCTTATCAGTAGAAATGTTTTAACCTTAACAGTTTTTTGACCCAAGAGCAGCAGTGATGTGATCCCAAGGTAGGCTTCTATAGGTTGTGTCTATCCCTAAGAGATACCAATGCTTTCAAATTGTTCTCAGAAAAAGTCTCAGGAAGAAAAACAGCAGGAGAGAAAATATCCCATAATCCTATTTGCCATGCTTGTGTTAATTCAACTCCTCAAACCTGTTATGGATCCTTTTACTGAAACTGTTTCTTTTTTGTTCCAGCAAGTTTACTCTTTGTACATCTTTTTATTAAAAAAAAAAAAAAAGAAATAAAAGCAGTAATGACTAATCAGTAGAGGACAATCATTCTTGAAGAGTTACTAAATTTCAGGAATTTCTGCCTTTTCTCAGTTGAGTTGACTTTAATCCAATTAAAATGTCTTACTTTCCATTATAGTAAGAGTAAAGCTGGTTCTTGGCCCAGAACGGTCTGTGTCAGTTAAACAGAAAGAAATTCAGCTCTGAATATAACAGAGAAGAGTCAGTTCCCTAAATGAAATGGGGATTGTTGCATCTCTAATCTGAACCTCATATTACTAAGAACACCGCTTATTTGTCTGAGTCTGCATTCTTTAGAGTGATTGACAAGATCCTTGATTTTATTATAATGGATTATTATGTTATAGTGGAATAAGTCAAGTTAGAATGTTTTCGTTATTAAAGATGTGCTCTGAATTTGAGACCAAAATCTCTCAGTGGTTAGGGGAAAAACTGATATACCACGTCAGCTCCCTCTTACCCTATTGCTGAGAACTGATGAATGAATTTATATGAGTATCAGTTTGCAAGATGGTGAGGGAGACTGGCAGTGGAGGGGGAATTAAGCTGTAACATTCTTTTCTTTCAAAAGCTGCTATAAGCCTGAAAACATCTTTCCTGTTTTGTCTGCTTTATACAATAGCAAACAAAGGAGAGCTCTAGCCTAGGGATAACTAGATTTTTAACTCTTATTTAGGTTTACATGGTTGTACTAAACACAGCAATCTTAACTTTTGTTTGACTTTCATTGATATGCCTTCCATGCAAGGGACATGGTGTGTATGCAGAATAAAGAAAGCCTGTAGTTCTTTGAGTGAGTTTTGTCTCAGGCTTTGTTGACATGTGATATTCCCCTTTGTGTGATAGAAAACTGCAGAGCTGCACTTTCTTGGCTGGATATTTTCTGAAATAAATTTAAAGTCTCCTTTAGTTTTAAAAATGTTGTTTAAATAAACTTTTTCTCAAAGGTGACGACAAAAAGACTAATTTAAATGATGGCATTGTAAGTGAGACTTTTAACGACATAGGTGACATCAAAACTCAATCATAGAGCAACTCCTGTTACAGCAGCTTCTCAACATCAGCAACATTCGTTACCTTTTTTTTCCTGTTTCACTTCCCTCAATTCTGAAGATGAGTTAATGGAAGAACTTCCCTTAACAACTGAAACTGAAATACTTGCATTTAGTAAATACTTGCAACTTTCTTCTTAACCAAAATTTGAAACAGTTGTCTCTGCATACACTCTTT